GGGGGGGAGGGACGTGCAGATGGGAGGCCGTACTTATGAAGAGGACACAGGCTACACGTCATCGCAGCTCACGTTCCTCTCCACTGGAAGTGATCAAAGCACTCCCTGTTTAAAGGTTTCTGCCCCAAAGCCTTGACCCCCAGAATAAGTTAGGACCACGATGAGATAGATGTGGGCCACCGAGAGGGAAGGGGACTTCTATAAATAAGTATGGAAACTCGTACTATGTCTCCGGGCGCTGTCATGGCAGCTTTTATTTCCCCTCCCTTCCCACACTGTGGTCTTAATATTGAGTATCAGGTCTCTCTGCGGCCATTGTGTGGCCTGGATTCCTGCCAGGCTTCCTGTGAAGTGTGCAGCCGACGCTCACATCTCAGAGATGTCCTAAAGTTGGGGGAACAGGGGAGGCCACCCAGCCCTTTATCAGCGGCTCAGCACAGAGTCCGTGCCTGCCCAGCCACACCTGTTGCCACTCAGGAGCTAAAGGGTGTGGATGATGAACACTGACCGGGCCCTCAGTTCATTCCATCACCCCCTTAGTTCTCACAGCCCCTCCCCCAAGGTTAGCATCGTTCTAGTCACAGGACAGACCTAACAACACATTCCCCAGGCGTGTATTAAAGTATGCCTCTGAACATGCGCATATATGAACACTGAACAAAAATGTATATGGACTCTTCTGAAACAACCCAGAAACACACCACCCGCGCTTGCTCTCACCAGCGCAGTAGGAACTCAGATTTTTTTTTGGGGGGGGGGGTGACTTCAACTGTAAAGGTCACACAATGGGTAAGTGACAGGGCTGGGAGGCAAACAGGCCTCATCAGAACACACAGCCCAGGCTTCTAACCATGAGTCACACCCTTCCTTCATTTGGTGTGAACAGAGAATCTAGGAAACAGTACGCGTTGGCGGAGGCGACAATGTCTACCTCTTTTTTTTTTTTTTTCATTTCGTCACCTGGCACCTGGGGAAGAACCTTCCCCTCTCTCAACCTCAGCTGAGACATTCCAGAAGCAAAGGGCGGAAAACATGACCATAGATACGTTTCACTGTGTGTGCGTTTCACACACGCACCCCCTTGGGTCTGCTGATTTCCCTTTGATGCTTCTGCTTTTGTTTGTTTGTGTTTTGGGGGCTGGGTGGGTGGTTTGTTTTTGCTATATAGCCTTGGCTATCCTGGTACTCGCTATGTAGACCAGGCTAGCCTCTAATTCAAAGTGATATGCCTGCCTTAGACCTCCGCAAGTACTGAGATCAAAGGTCACCACCACCACACCTGACCCACCTTGAATGTAAAGGGAACTCAAGAGAGGAGCTGGTTGGTTCGAACCCTGAAATGCAGGTCTGTGTCTAAAGTGTTACTGGCCACAAAGGGTTTCATGGAAAGGGCAGCATTTAAATATGGATGCTGCTTCCACAGGCGGGAAAGCCTGGGTAACAGCTGCTGAGAGATGAGGTATAGGACCAGAAGCCAATGGAGATCCACAGAGAGAGAAAAGGAGGCCAGGAGGTGAGGGCCCGGAACAGACATTGGAATGAGCTCAAGCATGGAGGAATGGAAATGTTAAGAGTAATAGAGGTAGCCGGGCAGTGGTGGCGCACGCCTTTAATCCCAGTACTCGGGAGGCAGAGCCAGGCGGATCTCTGTGAGTTCGAGGCCAGCCTGGGCTACAGAGTGAGATCCAGGACAGGCACCAAAACTACACAGGGAAACCCTGTCTCACCCCCCCCCAAATTAAAAAACGAGTAATAGGGGCTGGGGAGGGCACAGTTACAGTAGTTGAGCAAATGAGCCCATGAGCTAGGGTGAGCACGGAACAAGAAAAGCGTCTCTGCTTCTGCTGTGGACACTGTCACTGTGTCATCTTACTCTGGGAACACTGTGTGACCTAATAAGGCGTCATAGTGTTTGAAGCTGATACCAAATAATTATAGTCAAGTGCCACATAACCACATTACAGACAATATCCAACCATGGTCCCATAAGATTACATCACGTAGAGGCGTAGGTTGGAGCCATCTTGATCTATAAAAGAACACTTTGTCACTCTCATAATACACTACCCAACAATGCATTCCCTAGGTGTATATTAAAGCATGCCTATGTGCATGCACATATGTGTCTATACCCACTCTCCTGAAGCATCCCAGTAACACCACCCATGCTCACTCTCAGCAGGTGCAGCAGGAACTCGGAGGGTCCTGTTGAAAGTGTCCCGAGAAAGGGGTTTTCCATCTCCACTTTGATTCACGGTCCCCAAAGATGGCAACTTCCTGTTTTCCCAGCGCGGCAGAAAGCGTCCCCAAATATAGTCCGATGTGCAACAAAGCCTCACACAGACACAAAGACGCGAGAGGGAACCAGACATGAGAGCTGGAGCACGCTGAAGTCTTAAGAAAAGGAGACTTGGAGGAAACGCGGGACTGTACATATTTAACACATACTCATGGTTGAGCATAAATGCCTGGGCATGCGGACCCCCAAAGCCTGCTTGTTCTGCAATCAGAGAACACTCCCCGTAAATAATCTGTTTGCTCCTGGACTCTCAGAACAAAGCAGAGGCCTGTGCCCTCTCTTTTGTCTCTCTTATTTCTCAAGAGGCTGGGAACGGAGAGCAGCTCTTGTCGCCCCGTCGGGGCTGGGGGCGGGGGTGGTCTGTGGCGTCAGTGGCACAGGTGGGAAGGTCTTCCTTCTACATCAGTTGGTGTGTGGGGGAAGAGGGTGGCAGTGAGTTCGCCAACACAGGGACACATCCATCAGCTGTGTATCCGCTGACACCCCCAGAGGAACCCCAGGCTCACGGGGATGGGCGGCGGAGGTAAACGCTCAAGTCAGGCGTCTGTGGCATCAAACCGGCGGCCATCTTGGTTTTCCCCAGGTTGCCGACTGCCCTTGATGTCTTTGCTTGGACAATTTCGGACGGTACTCTTCTCGGGCACAGGAAAGTGGTATTTTTGCCACCCTGTGGTCAGGAGTAGAGACCGCGATGGTTCTAGTCCTGGCTCCGATGCCCAGAGGCGGCACTCTTTCCTTCCCACAGCTCACTTCCTCTCGAATGACCTGCTTTCTACTTTCAGAAAGAACAGAGCTTACAAACAAGGTAGCAAGATAGCTCGGTAAGAACAATGCTTTCGGAACACGTGGACCTGAGTTGTGACTTCCAGCGCCCACTTAAAAGCTAGGCACGTCCGTCCGCATGGGCCTGTGACTCCTGCACTGCAGATCCTCAGGCTCGCTGGCTCAGCAGCCTTGCTGAAGGGGTGCAAGCTCCACGTTTAGTGATGGATCATCTTTTTTTTTTTTTTTTTTTTTTTTTTTTAATTTTACAATACCATTCAGTTCTACATATCAGCCACGGGTTCCCCTATTCTCCCCCCTCCCACCCCCTCCTCTTACCCCCAGTCCACCCCCCATTCCCACCTCCTCCAGGGCAAAGCCTCCCCCGAGGACTGAGATCAACCTGGTAGACTCAGTCCAGGCAGGTCCAGTCCCCTCCTCCCAGACTGAGCCAAGTGTCCCTGCATAAGCTCCAGGTTTCAAACAGCCAACTCATGCAATGAGCACAGGGCTTGGTCCCACTGCCTAGTTGCCTCCCAAACTGATCAAGCCAATCAACTCTCTCACCTATTCAGAGGGCCTGATCCAGCTGGGGGCCCCTCAGCCTTTGGTCCATAGTTCATGTGTTTCTATTCATTGGATCATCTTTTAAAAAGGAGTAATGTGAACCTGGGGAGGTGGCTCAGTGGATAGCGCCCCTGCTATGCAGATTGGCGTTTGGAGTCCCAGACCCAAGGAAAAGCCAGGCAGGAGGGATGGCTGTCTGTTTATCTAATTTGCAGGAGGAAGAGATAGGGGATTCCTGAGGAAAGCCGACTAACTAGACAGCTAAAATTAGTGCGCTCCAGGCTTAGCTAAAGACCCAGACTCGATAAAGTGGAGAATGATCAATAAAGACATACCGTGTCAACTTTGGACCTGCAGCATCCACACATGCAAACATGCACACACACACACACACACACACACCCCTACTGGTCACAAGGTCACAAATATCTCAGCATAAGAACACACACATTCCAGCAACGTAATGAAGCATCCCACAAGTCTAAGGAGGGAAATCCACGACCATCCCGTTTCCTTTCCCATGAGGTTTTGGGAGACTCCACTTCCCACCAAGAGTCCAAAACTGCTCCCAGCCAGAGCTTTCAACTCAACAACTAGTCATAATTAATGGAGCTGGGGTTGATTCAAGTATTGGCTTTTCTCTTGATTTTAACAATATTTGAAAACCAGTAATTTGAAGAGCAATATTACAACCCATCGTTCATCTTGAAGAAGAAATACACATCTTGACTTACTTGAAAATTTTTTATTCATCTTTACTTTAATTTGCCAGGCATGGTGGTGGCACATACCTTTAATCCCAGCAGTACAAAGGCAGAGACAGGTGGATCTCTGTGAGTTCGAGGTCAGCCTAGTCTACAGCGTGAGTTCCAGGACAGCCAGGGCTACACAGAGAGAAACCCTGTCTCAAATAAATAAATAAATAAATAAATAAATAAATAAATAAATAAATAAACAAACTTACCTTACTTTTATTTTATGTGTATGGGTGTTTTGCTTGCTACGCACTACATGAACGTATACAGAGGCCAGTAGAGGACAGAGGATCCCCTAGGACTGCAGTTACAGGCACTTGGGGCCACCATGTGGGATGCTGGGAATGAAACCCAGATCCTCTGCAAAAGCGGTCAGTGCTCTTAACTGAGCCATCTCTCTAGCCTCAATTAGAAAAAACATATCTCACACACCACACACACACACACACACACACACACACACTTCGAGGAGCTGGAGGGCTGGCTCAGCAGGTAAGAGTGCTTACAGCTCTTCCAGAGGACCTGAGTTCAGTTCTTGGCACGGATGTCAGCTCACAAGCACTTCTAGCTATACGTTGTACTGGGTAGTTTTATGTCAACTTGACATCAGCGAAAGTCATCTGAGAGGGGGGATCCTCAATTAGGAAAACGCTGTAAGACTGGGATGTACTCAAGCCGGTAGCGCATTTTCTTAATTACTGATTGGTGTGAGAGGGGCCAGCCCATTTTGGGTGGTGCCATTCCCAGGCTGAGCAAGCCATAGAGAGTAAACCGATGGCCTCAGCATCAGCTCCTGCCTCCAGGTTCCTGTCTGTGTTTCTGTTCTCGCTTCCTTCAGTGATGGATTGAGATGTGGAAGTCTAAGCATGGTCAACCTACTAGGGGCCACTCCTTAGAGAAAACTACCTCCCCGTCCGTCGGAAACCATCACTCATCAATAGCTCCTCAGCTAGGAGTGGGCACTCGTAAGCTCCTCCTCCCCCTGTGCTTAAAAGTTGGCTGGCTTGATCTTGCATGGGCAGCCGCAGCTGCTGTGAGTTCATGAGTACAATAGTCTTGTCATGTCCAGAAGACACCATCATGTCCTTCCCTCCTCCGTCCTCCCCAACTCTGGTTTTTCACAGTCTTTCTTGGGGAGAGGGGACATACCACTATTTTATGTATCATTACACAGAAAATCATGCTTCTGTTATCATTGTAAATGGAATTTATTGAGAGTAATTCATACTCAACGTTCCAGAGCCTTGAATCCTTGGGCCATGGCAGGCTTATTACCCCAAACATTTCACCTATGATTAACAGCATTCACTAAAGAATCGTGCAGGTGGCAGTGGTGGCACAAGCCTTTAGTCCCAGCACTCAGGAGGTAGAGGCAGGTGGATCTCTGTGAGTTCAAGGCCAGTCTACAGATCGAATTTGAGGACAGCCAAGGCTACACAGGGAAATTCTTGAAAAAATGCCCAAAAAAGAAAGAAAGAAAAAAATTGCTTATGGATTTGCCTCAGTGTGTGTTACTTGGGTGTGACAAACACTACGACCATAGGCAACTTGGCGAGGAAAGGGTTTATTTCATCTTGCCTTCTACAGCCCATCATCCAGGAAGTCCAAGGCAGAAACTGTGGAGAATGCTGCTTATGGGCTTGCTCCATCTGCCTTGCTCAGCCACCTTTCTCAAATGCCTGGACCCACCTGTTCAGGAATAGTTCTACCCACGGCATTCTGGGTATATAGAACTACCCCTCTTATATCAGTTAACAATTAAGAAAATACCGCACAGACTAATACGATAAATGCAATTCCTCAATTGTGATTCCCTCTTCCCCAGTGTGTCCAGGTTTCTGTAGAGCTGACAAAAACTGTGTCTATATTTCATATGCACAGATATGCCTTTGCATGCAATATATGTGTCCGACGCCATTCTTGTCCTCAAAGGCTCATGGTCTGGGAAGATCTGGTTTGATTGAGAGTAGGTGTTGACAATTATAGTGCATATTCCAAATTCCTGTTCTGTACAGTGTGGCTGGAGTCTGTGACACCCTCACTACTGTGGGAGTTTCATCCATGCCCACCATCAAAGCACCACATGGTGTTGTAAAGACACAACCCGCTTTCACAGAAACGGTTCTCTGATGTTTGCTTTTAGCTAGAAGTTTGGGATTTGGGCTGGTCACTTAAGTAACCTTCAACTTATAATGTATTTTTGTCAGCTCAAAAGCGGCACAATCTCTCCAAAAATGAAAACTGGGAGGGGAAGGGAGCAAACAGCACCAGAATAGTAGAAGGCGGGCCAGGCAGCTCATTAAGGCCTTCATTTGCTGACTGACAGTTCTTCTGAGTTACATGGGCATCAGCGGGGAAAGCAGGTCTGTTCATCTAACAGGGCCACAGTTCTATGCAACTCTGATATCGGATTTTACAAGGGGAAAACTGAGTGCTGGGGTCGCATGCAGCCCAGGGGTAGACTGCTTGCAGTAGATGTGAGGGCTGGGGGTTCAATTCCCCAGCACCACAAAAAGGAGCCACACTCAACAGCTGTGGGAAATGTGGGAGGAAACAATAGACTCTAATGGTTCTCACTCTTCTGACATCACTTGCCCGTGGCGTTCCGTCCACACCAACTCTTTGAACTGCCTTTTGTGCCCTTACTCAAGCACTTAGTGAGCCAAGGCCGGCTGTTCAGAGCCCTGCAAATGAAGCAATGGCCAGATGAAACCCCTGCTTCCTAGAGCTTGAGATTCATGGGGGAAGAGACAAAGAGAGGCAGAATATGAAACGTGCCACACCGGCCGATGGTGTCAAGTGTCCTGATGAAATACAAAGCTGGATAAGGAGACCAAAGACGACGATGCGATGCAGAGAGGATGTGCCACGGGAAGGACCCGGCCATTAGGGAGACACCCACAGAAAGAGGGTGGGATTCCTGCACACCGGGAGGGTTTCCCAGAAGGAGAATGGATGGATGCCGTGGTGCTGGGGCAGGGGCATGGGCGCCCAGGCTTGAGAAATAGCCAAGGGGCGCCAAAGGGAAAGGGAGCAGGGTGCTTCGAGGAATAATGTCAGAGAGGAAGGGGGCCATGGCACAGAGGGCGTGGGAAGGGGCAGGGTAGGACCTGGCACCTTCGTGGAGAAGGGACTGTGCAGCCATAGGCTGGATGGAGGGCCACAGCTGGAGGCTGCCAACTGTCACCAGGAGCTGGCGAACATGACAGGGACTAGAGGGGCAGCAGGAAACGTGCTGAGAGTATGTCAGCTTCCAGAATACTCCAAAAGAACACCCTGAGAGTTTGCAAGGACTGGACAGAGGGTTTATAAGAACCAGAATATGAATGAGTGCATCCAAAAAAAATCCTGCATTAGCTTGAAGACACACTCAACCAAGGTGTGGACTGGCCGTGGACCTGTGAGCCTGAGGCCAGCCGTACAGCCCCCTCCTCCTGAACTACTTCCATGAGGACCTTCGAGGGTCCTCTGTTCTTAGGTATATTTCACTTGTCCCCATGGTCCCACACCCCTTATTTTGTTTTGTTTTTTGGGGGGAGGTAGGTTTTTGTTGTTGTATCTTCC